AGAATAGGTTTTTTGGATGGCTATGATCAAGGTGGGTGAAAACCAAGGATATTCAAGGATGGAATGAAAAAATTTGTTGTGATGAAAACGTAAATATGCCATGTTCCATATTGTCATCCACCTTAACCAAGAACAAAAACAAAAAGATATGAAACGAAAACAGCACAACAATCACAAACATGATTACACAGCTTCTCGTCTTGTACGGAATTCGGAAGGTTTCCATTTTGGTTCTAGCCTCTCTTTCCAGCTGCATGGATTTGATGGTTGTAGTGCTCCTTACCGATGTGGAGGCATCATTGGGCAGGGCTCCGGTGGGCCATGCTGTACGGGGTTTTGCTCGGGTTTTCCTTAATTAACCAAGCTTGTGTTACCTTAGTAACCGGTCAATTCTACTCCCACTTAATGAATAGGAAAAGCTTCTACCAGTTGCTCGGAAAAAAAAGCATGGCTGCGTACGCGCACCCTCCACCGGCTCTGATGATATCAAAGCAGTGCGTTATCCCCTGCTGCGACGAGTGCATGATCATGAGGTTTCCCGGTCACCCTCTCAAGCTGCCACTGTACTCCAGTTTGAATTGTTAGGGAGTAGTAACGATTTTCTTTAGGCGCACCTGTAGCAGCGTTCAAGTATGAGACTTGTTGGCCTGCTATCGTCAAAACATCAGTACTAGTCAAGGTCCATGAAAAGAGCTGTTTCACATTGCCGTCTCTGGCGACTAGTCTCGAATCCGGACTTTGCCACTTTGACCATCTTCAAATCCTTCGAGATGCCCATGTCGAGCTCTCTGTGGCCTCTCATGACTCTATATACAGCCCAGAAATAACACAAGCCATACCAGGCTACCACACACACGTCACTCATGACTCATCAGCCAAATATTGTCATTTGAGCACGGTCAAGAATGACGTTTAGCTTGGAGAACGTTCTGCTGCCTTAGCTTCGACACTTTGGACTACTCGGAACGAACTGGCTATTGAGGAAATAATCTCATCCTATCCTGCTAACTATATATTCGAATGGTTTCTATTTTTTGTTGGAGTTATGTCAAATATAGTGTACGAGGTAGGTTACAGTTGGACTTGTAGTTGTGCTGTGTTTAGATAGGATATGGAGTCGTGTCCTAATAGGACACTTGTACCCTAGGCCTCTCATATATAGCGGGGGTAGACACACGATGTAACCTATGCCAACATAATAGCACCGGAACGCAGGGGAAGCCGGCGGCATGTGCCGGTGTCCAGGGCGACCGGGTGCGGTATTGTAGCGGTGTCATGGGGAGGAGCGCCCATAGTCCGGCCCCGGGGATGTAGCGATATCGGTGAACCTCGTTAACAAATCTCGGTGTCGTGCTCGTGTGATTGCTTGGTCCTCGGATGATCAACGGTATGCCTCGGATTTATTCTAACAAGTGGTATCATGAGCAAGGTTACGTGTAGTCGCTGTGCGTTGATCTAGAGGATTGGATGACCGAAGAATCGATCAGTCGCCGAGATCAGGTGACAGAATATTGGATAGATCGGTCGGATTGATGGAAGCAACACGTGGTCCAAGCGCACATATGGAAGTTCCAGCGAGATGGATTGATCGTTCGATCTGTTCAGGCGACTGGCGGCGTAGTAGCTGGCTCGGGAGACGCGGTGCAAGCAGGCTTGGGCGACGCAGACGCGGTGCAGCGCGTGACGTGGGAAGCCAAGCAAGGCTCGCGAAACCGGTGCGTGAGCGATGTTGTGGTGGGCCATCATGGCCCTACGCGGAGCAGCCTTTGGCATGGGACAATGATGTGCGTGTACAGGCGCGTGGTGCGGCACGTCACAATGCAATCAGGAGCTGTGTTTATGAGATTTGTTTGGAGACCAAAACGGGACCGAGTCCCGGAAGGAAGTCGTCTCAGGAATGGAGTCTTGCATGCTCGCTTTAAAGGCTGGTACAGGCAGCCGTAGAAGAGATGCACAGGCAGATCAAATCGAGCGAAGGAAATCCATTGCTATGTATACATTGGAAAGCACAGACTTGGGAAAGCAACGTTAGCATCAGATATTGTGCCAGGAGCATATCACGTGAAAGACCAAAAGTGGTTGGATTTTGCTATTAGTACACAGCGGTGCACCTCATCAGGTTTTGCTTGTGTATTTGGGCATCACGTGAGGAAAGCTCGGATAATTTTTCGCAGGGTCAGCCGTACAAAGAACTATGGCGAACATGGGTGAAAGTTTGTTGGCACAATGGGAATGCTTGAAGGCGTTGCGGGAAGTCATGTCAGCTAAGATGGACTTATCAAGTGATGAATTAGAATTCACGGAAGATGATCTGAGAGCCTTGAGCGTGTCGTGCAGCTGGAAAAGTTCGGCTGGGTTGGACTAGACAGTCTGACGGATCGACGCGAGTTGGTTGATACAGAAGACGGTGGTGGGATCAACGACGACGAAATAGGAGCGTGGTGCTGATGGTGACCGACTTCTGGGCGTGGAAACACGTGTCGCAGGCCCGAGGGCTTGTGTGACTTCGACAAGACTATGGCGCGGGGTTGGTTCAAGATGGTGTACACACGGAGCTTGAAGTCGACGGGGCGCGGGGTGGCACGTACAACCACCATGGAGTCATGTTGAAGGTGGAGCTGGATTAAGGGGCTACGGCGTAAGTCGACGGTGTAAGGATCCAGAGAATCGAAGCCTATTCAGCGGGGAAAAAGCGAGCGACACATAATTTGGACTGGAGCCCAATGGTCCGATGGAAGCGTGAAACTCATCATCGGTCGGTGATGATCGGTGGTACTCTGCAGTGGGGGTTGAGTGGTGTGGTTTCGCGACCCTTGAGACTCGACCAGGAGAGCGGAAGCTCGACACAGTAATAGCGGCGAGGCATGCGGTATGCACGGGACATGGAGATGGGCCAGGGCTCTGGTGGTCATACATGTGGTGAGGCAACTGCGAATTTGACTCGGGATGACTACAAGAAATGGTTAAATTTTTTCAAGTTTCAGACAGGCGGTCAAGAAAGGAGCGGTGATGTTGAGTTCAGGTAACTCTTATGTGTGACACCCAATATGTGAGTTGTTCATTTTCACGCAGGTCAGTGATCAGTGTGTGATGGCGTTGGACTGATACTCTGGAAGTTGGGAGCACAAACTAGAGTAACAACAAACTTAATTTTGCTCGAGTGTTGGCTGTGATCAAGAAAAGAAGGGACTACAAGTTGCAGGCGGAGTCATATGAAGTCTTTGGAGTAGCAGCGGTACTCACGTGATAAGCTCAAGTCCAATGTACATGGAAGTTTGACGCATTGACGAATTCAGGGTGGTGGAGTATATTTGCCAAGGTGGAGTTTGTTGGAGTTATGTCGAATATAGTGTATGAGGTAGGTTACAGTTGGACTTGTAGTTGCATTGTGTTTAGATAGGATATGGAGTCGTGTCCTAGGACACTTGTATCTTAAGCCTCTCATATATAGCGAGGGTAGACACACGATGTAACCTATGCCAACATAATAGCACCGGAACGCAGGGGAAGCCGGCGGCATGTGCCGGTGTCCAGGGCGACCGGGTGCGGTATTGTAGCGGTGTCATGAGAAGGAGCGCCCATAGTCAGACCCCGGGGATGTAGCCATATCAGTGAACCTCGTTAACAAATCTCGGTGTCGTGCTCGTGTGATTGCTTGGTCCTCGGATGATTAACGGTATGCCTCGAATTTATTCTAACATTTCTTACAGCGCTGTCGGCCTCTAGGGAAGAGGAAGGACAATGATGCGATGGCATACATTCTTCTCAAGATCAAGCACAGCGTCACGCCTACCACAGGAATGCTTGAGCCAGATCAGTCCGTCTAGTTTGCCGTTCTAGCGCTCTTCTATGAGTCGCGCCTTGTATCTGCGCGTTTTACCTTTGCTTTAACTTTCCATCTTGTTGATGCATGGTCTCCAATAACTGTATGTCAGTATTATGGCTGTTGCTGGCTTTATTAATTTAAAGTCGGTGCTTCTTGTGCCTGTTTCTGAAAAAAACATTGAGCCTTTTTTTGCGGGTGAACATTGAGCCTTTTCTTTAAGTTCAAAAAATGGATTTTTACAGGCTGAATAAATTCAAAGTTTTTTGTACACGCATGTATAGCAATGTAGTAGTATATCGGGTCAATTTTTCATCAATATACGTGCTTGCATGTGAGAGATAAAAAACGATAAATACATGCGAAAAAATGGGCTTGTTTTTTCCTGTTGATTTGGGGCCAAAACTTTGTCTTCTTTGTGCAGCGTATAATACAACATATTATTGAATGAAATTTCACTAAGTACTTAGACCACATGCATGCGTATTCATGTAAAAAATAAAGAAAATCAAATCTTTTAAGCATCATTTTTTTAGGAGTTCAAATAAACATGCTCCAATGCACCCGTGCACCAAAAGTCCACTTCACTCATAGCTGGCTCTGCGTACGCGTCCACACCAGCTTACCTTTCTCCACATCTCTGGAGATATTCATCCGATACGGCCGTAATTAGTACTGCAGCAAGCAAACCCACATGCCATTACGTTTCTCCTGTCATTCTCTCAGCGTGGAGCGTAGACTATAATCTGGCCCCGTGGTGACGAATTTTCTTTGAGCGTGCAGCACAGTCGTTGGACTTTTGAGTCTCCAGCTTGCCGGTCGTCTGGCCATATGTGCTAGCTATATACGGTCTATGTCAATTGTCAACCTTGATGTATTCATCTATACCAAAGATTGAGTCTGCTCTGCTCTCTTCCCCGAAGGTAGGCCATCTGTGCTATATATGGTCTATGTCGACCTTGATGTTTTTATCCTTATCAACTACTTCCTTCGTCCGAAAATACTTGTCATCAAAATGGATAAAAGGAGATGTAAATGGATATATCTAAAACTAAAATATGTCTAGATACATCTCCTTTTATCCATTTTGATGACAATTATTTTCGGACGAAGGAAGTAGTTCCATTAATTGCAGACTTTGCCAACTTTCATCTAATCTGTGACGGCGCAAGCAGCTATGCACTACATCCCCATCTTCTTCCTCCTGTTCTTGAGTTCATTCTGCAAACCCGATGACCAGCTCACACAAGCAAAGCCACTCACCGACCGCGACACTCTCATCTCCGAGAGCGGTGACTTTGCTCTAGGCTTCTTCTCCCCGACAAGCTCCAACAAGAGTTTTTACCTTGGCATATGGTACCACAGCCTCCCTGGGCCACGGACCGCCGTGTGGATCGCCAACCGAGACAGCCCAATCACCAACCCTTCGTCCATGATGCTCACGGTAACTAACAATTCTCGCATGGTATTATCTGACTCTGAAGGCCGTAATATTTGGATGGCAGCAAGCAATATCACCACTGGAGCGGCAGGAGCTTATGCAGTACTAAACAACTCGGGGAACTTTGTTCTCCGTTCGTCGAACAACATGGACATATGGCAGGGTTTTGATCATCCAACCGACACAATACTTCCAACCATGAGATTCTTGGTGAGCTACAAAGCACAAATCATCGCACGCCTTGTTGCTTGGAAGGGCCCGGATGACCCATCTTCTGGGGACTTCTCATGCAGCGGCGACACAAGATCCCCAGACCTTCAGTTGGTAACTTGGAACAAGGCTAGGTTATATTGTCGTATCATTGTGTTGGACGGTGTGTCGGTGTCCGGTGGCACACTAAACAACACTAGCTCCATCTCGTACCAAACAATTGTCACCTCTGGAGACGAGTTCAGTTACAGGTTCACTGTTTCCGACAACTCACCATTCAGGCGCATGATGCTTGACTACACTGGCAAGTTGAAGAATCTAGGTTGGGACAATCACTCTGCGTCGTGGATAGTCATCAATGAGCTTATGAGCACCCCAATAGTGCTTGCGATCTCTACGCCTCTTGTGGCCCGTTTGGCTACTGTGACTTCACTGAGGCCATTCCAACATGTCAGTGCTTTGATGGGTTTGAGCCCATCGACAGTAGTAACTCTTTTAAAGGATGTCAGAGAAAAGAAGCGCTGAAATGCAGCAAGAAAAGTCATTTCACGCCTTTTCCTGGAATGAAGGTTCCTAACATGTTCTTGCATATACGGAACAGAAACTTGGATGACTGTGCAGCTGAGTGCATCAACAATTGCTCGTGTACAGCGTATGCTTATGCCAACTTGAGTAGCGGAAGTGCTATGGCAGACCCATCAAGGTGCTTAGTTTGGTCAGGGGAGCTTATTGATGCTCAGAAGGCAACCGGTAGCGAGAACCTGTACCTCCGACTTGCCGACTCTCCTGGTATTCGGTATTCCATGCCCTTTTTTTTACCTAGTCAGTAGTGTTTTTAATACTCTATTGCTAGTATATACTCCAAAAAAATCTAAGCATACCATTTTCAAGATATCCAATCTAAATATATCAAGCAGTATCAGTAGTTAAAGTTTTAGAAGTTCCATATCCAAAACATCACCACTGGTAGAAAAAGGGCCTATAGTCCCGGTTCGTAAGGGCCTTTAGTCCCGGTTCCGGAACCGGGACTAAAATGTCGGTACTAATACCTCCCCCCTTTAGTCCCGGTTCAATCCAAAACCGGGACTAAAGGCCCTCCACGTGGGCAGTGCGCAGAGCCCAGTCAGGAGACCCTTTGGTCCCGGTTGGTGGCACCAACCGGGACCAATAGGCATCCACGCGTCAGCACTTCTGTGGCTGGGGTTTTTGTTTTT